GTAACCGACAGTGCTCCCTTAGCTTCATTGGCGTATCGCTCTTCGCAAGCTGAAATTGTGAATATTCTACAAAAGCTGGATAATCAGGATGCTAAGACAGCCAATCATGAAGTTCTTTTGGTTGAATTTAACTCGGAAATGCAAAATAGGAATAGAGAAATAAAAAGACTGCAGGCTCAGCTTAAAACTGCTAACGATGAAATAAGAAAACTTCAACGACAGACGGAGTATCTAGAACATACTCTAGGTGCTAGAAACATTGCTATAGCTGAGCTAGAAGATTACGTCAGGCAAGAGCAATTCTCAAGCTACAATGGTGTGCTTTTATGGAAAATTACTGACTTCACCCGAAAACGAAATGAGGCGAGATCCGGCCAACACGTATCTACTTATAGTCCCTGTTTCTATACTAGTCGTCACGGTTATAAGATGTGCGCGCGCATCTATCTAAACGGTGATGGTATCGGAAAGGGAACACATTTTTCAATATTCTTTGTTGTTATGCGCGGTGAGTATGACGCAATACTCCGCTGGCCATTTAGACAAAAGGTCACCTTTATGTTATTAGATCAGGATAACGTAGAACACGTAGTTGACGCCTTCAGACCTGATCCGAGTAGCTCCTCATTCCAGAGACCAAAAAGGGATATGAACATAGCCAGTGGGTGCCCGACCTTCTGTGCTATGACACAGTTAAACAACCACGCTTATGTAAAGGACGATACTATGTTTATCAAAGTTATTGTTGATACTGGGGACTTATAACCTTTAAACAAAGCTGCAATGTTTTTTCCTGCATAATTTTGTTGATCTGAATTTATAATACATTATATGATAATATTCGAGTGCTATTGGTCCCAACGGGTCATTGAAATGACTATAAGCTAAAAGTGTTTGATGTATGAGCAAGATATTCTAATCTGTTTACAATCTCTTGCTTTGAGTGATAACCCCTTCTTTTCCAACCCACGTTTGTTACTTTAAAATCCTTTTTCAATTTATTTAAATAAAGAATAGTATTTTCTGTGATTATATTTGAAAAGACAAACCTGCCTATAATTATAATGAAAAATTTATCGCACCAGAGTCATTTTCAGTAATAGGCTGTTTTTTAATATTTTGTCCCTCACACTGCTCAGAATATTTGAACAGTGAGCTCAACGACATTCATTTAAAGCCGAAATCTGCACATGATGTTATCAATGAAATTTCCCTCTTCCTCGACGCTTCCGGATTGCTACCCGAAACAGACAAATTTAGTTCGCGGAGAAGCATCTCGCTTCTACTTAAGGCTGTTGTTTATACATATAATTCTTCCTTTAGTGTGACACATTTGCAGCGATCCTTAATCCACTAGGACAATAATGTAGATATAGATGCCTTGCACTGCTTACTGTTTGATGTGTGAAACAGCTTTAATTTGTCTCTGCCCCATGATGAGATTGTAATAAAAATTAAAGGCGTATAGATCGCTTATTGTTATTCTGTTTTGTTTCTTTGTTCCCCCTATGAACAAATTTAAAAGAATCGTTTTTTAGATAGCCACGCATTCCTCCATGCTTTCTCAATTCGGTTTTATTTTTCGCCCTCCAATAAAACTCGATCGATCGAGTTTGTCACTTGTATTTTCAAGTTTGTCAGGCGTGGTATTTGATTTGCCGAAGTAGTTCGTTGCTATTCGAAGCAAGCATTAAGTACGACTTAAATGAAAACTTTCAAACTGAATCGATCGTTCCCTCATTCCCTTTCAGCCCGTCTCTCGCCATCTAAATAATGGCAAAGAAACCCTCGAGCATTAGAGAGCTGTAGTTGTGTTGTGAACTAGTGTAACCATCGATTTTACTGTTTGTGACATTTCAGTATAACTAAGAAAATCAAGAGGACGATCAGGACTTTCTCTAGTTTATGTTTATTGAAGGATCATTAAATCCTTTGGCTTAGCTCCTACAGTTCGTATTGCACGTAAACAGTGTTGGAGAGGAAATCTGTCAGATAAAAAAATGATTAGATAAATTAATGAATGTCAAATAAGTGTATATTAATGATGAGATTACACCATGAAAGTAAAAAGGAAACAAAACAGAGCATAGGAAACCAAAAACAAACAGAAGTTCTTTCGATCGAAATGAAAATGATGGACCCTCCTCTTCTCTATTCTCACCTTTAATCACTTGATCCAGGTCGTCATCATCGTCATCGTTAACCCCCTTATTGTCATCACCATTATTATCATCATTATCACCTTCATGGTCATCATCGTCATCATCATCATTATCATCTTCATTGTCATCATCATCATCATCATCTTCGTAGTCATCACCATGGTCATCATCCTCATCATCAGGGTCTTCATCATTGTCACCATGGTTGTCATCGTCATTATCCTCGTTAGGGTTATCATCGTCGTCATCACTATCGCTGCCGTCTAGGTGTGCCTAACACCATGTAAAAAACATTTACCTTCTTAGTGGAGGGAAAGGATTCTGAAGGATTAAAGTAGCAGCCTAAACAGGGTTGCTTACCTTAAATATCGATTTACATTTACTATTCTGATCACCTTTTTCATACATTTGTCACCAATTCATCTTTCTCGGAAATAGATGTGTTTTAAAGTGGTTCGACGGTGTGTATTCTGAGCCTTGTTTTAATTCGCTTGCCCACGTTTTGCAGACATTATAATAAAAAAAAACTAGACTTACCATAAAAAGAAGCATAAAATGTGTAGTAGCAAAAAAGCACCCTTTTCCCCGAAGAACAAAAAGGGTTTTCGTGAACACGTGTTTGTTTGATTATATTTATATTTCAGATGCATATATACAAAAGCGCTAAGAAAATATTCCCCAAACTAAAAGTCATGTTTGTTTATCAGCATGAATATTTCTAGACGAATGTATGGAAAACGTTGTGGATTTCGGGAAAGAAAGACTCACTATCCTCCCCGAAAGTAAGCTATTACTGAAGAGTGAGTTAACATACCCAGCTACGTTACTTATAATACCTTAGTTGGACAGCGTTTAGACTGAGACAACGGACGCTGTCCTTGATTTCCATTCAATTCCATCATGGTTGTACATTGATTTGGAAATAACTGTGAAAACTTTCGGTAGAATAAACAACAAAGCTTCGTAAGTATAACAGCCTCGCAGTCCGATTGGTCATTACCATCGACCATCGACCTGTTACTTTGAATCATTTTGCAGTTTGCTCCTTCTGCTAATTTGAATACTACATTTTGAAAAGCATGCATATATCATGTTCATTACTTCTTTTATATGTAAGTATTGTTGTGGCCTTGATTATTTCCCAACAAGGTCTTAAGGTCAGTTTCGAAGGTATGAATTGTTTTTGTTTTTACCTTTGATGCCAATCAGGATTTATTACGGAGCGTATGTGATCAAATCAGAAAGAAGCAAATAGCATGATGATTATATTTTACCAGTTACACATCTATCAATCTATCGCGATTCGATCGCTGGATTTCTCGATTTTGTATGAGATCTAGCTCGAAATGATGCGGACGCGTTGCAAATAAAGTGGCAAAGGAAGGAACTTGGGGCTTTTAGGGGAAAACCCTCCATTGATATCGGAGATGCGAGTGGGGGATAAAAATATACAACGTCAAAATTGATAGATGTCTCTCGACTTTTGATAAACAACAATTATGAGCTCGAACCCGCTCCTGTGATGTAATTTGTGTCAAAATAGCACTAATCTCCCTTCCAAACGAAAACTTTGGTTATCTTGAGTTAGCTGGAACGCTATAGGTATCAAAAGCGTACTAAAAATTCTTATTGACTCTTAATTTGTCGAAATATTGCCCTTTGGCTCGTAAATAGAAAACAAGGCTTTGCAGAGAGGCAGGGTTTCCCACGATACATATGACAATGGATGTTGTAAGTCAATGAAATCTAAAATTGACAGTTTACGTTCGAAAATGTCGGTAAGAATTTCAGAGAGGGCCGAATGAGCACTTTCACCTTAGCAATGAACCGAATTATGTATGATCGAGAAAAGTGGGGGAAACAGTCAGAAATTGAAAGATGCTTGCCAATGGATTCTTTGCAAAGGCGAGGCAGGGATTAACATATTTCGGTCACGTTCTTCAGGGGGTTTTCCCTTGGGTAAACCCCTACAACTACGTCATGTGCGAACAACACTATTTAAATCGAAAAGTAGTATCGGTTATCAAGCAGTCGTCGCTGATTTTGCACACGGACTCGGTAAAACAGGTTTTAGCGTTTACAGTTGGTAAGTTAAATTTCTGTTAGGCACAAATGCAAGCCTTTAAGGCAAAATTTCTCCTTAGTAGTGAGATGAAATTGACAAATTTAAACCTGCCCTGTGTATTTAGCCATAGCTCACATCTTTGAAATGCATTGCTTTTATTCTTCCAAGTTTTTGCAATATAATTTTGTATTCAAAATTTATTTTTTCCACTGGTTATTTCGGCCCCTCAATCTTCCACAGACAGTTTCATTCCTTGAAACGAAAGACGAGAAATGGCGCGCGCGGGAAGTATGTTGAATTAACATTTTCTCGAACTTTTCCATATCTTGAGCGATTAATTTGCATTTAAAAGCAGACTGCGGCACAGACAGCAAAAATACATCTGACTGGGAATGAAACTTAACTTAAAAATATTTCACACCGCTTGAGTTGATCACACCAACGACAATTTGCATTAGACGAAAGTCATTAATTATAAACATTCCGTATCAACCGAGCACGCGACATAACAAAGAGGTGGTTGTCACACAATACTGCGTGACCAAAAAAACCGTGTCACAGGAGGTTCAGGCCTGATTTTTTCCCCACTGGATCTCCTGTTGAACTCAAGTTTTGCGTAAACCTTAGGCACTGCTCGTGTGCTGCAAACCCCACCAGTGATTGGAGTACTCAGTCTTTGGAAAATCATTACATAGATGATGGTTTTCATCTTACCAGGTGTGCCGTTACGGAGAGATAAGATTAGGAGGTTGACTTTACAATTGATTCCCTAGATATCCATCGATCATGCCTGGTTACACATGCAATCGTATCTGCGAGAATGGAAAGTCCATTGACCCCAAATACCTCTGCCTCCACTGTGAAAAGGTATTGAGGGATCCAGTTCAGACGAGCTGCGGTCATCGCTACTGCAAGTCATGTGTGGAGTCATTGTTAAGGTAATACATCAAAGGAAAGAAAGTTTTTCCTTTCCTTGATACGCCTTATTGTGCTTGTTAAAATTCTCAGTTCAAGATCCTATCAGCTGAAATGGTAGTCTTGTAGTATGATTTGCCTATAGCACTGTCATGGCCAAATGTAACATTTAACAGGTCCAGCATCAAACGATCTGATTTTTGTCAACATGATATTTATATCAGGCAAATTCCATCGATAGGTTGCCCTCTCCAAGGTGTGTGGTGGATGGGGAAGAGTTCGGAGAGGTAAGACAATCAGTTTGTTCTTGTCGAAAACTGAGTTAGACGCTAATTGCAGAGTATTTTCTACCGAATCCATCTTTTGCAAAGTTCTTACAAAAATGCCTTTTAGCACCATTGTATAATCGGGAGGCACTGCACTTTATTTTACTAAACATCGGAAAGTGAAGTAACGAACCTAACATGTGGGCTGCATCGAAGGCAATTGGGGAGAAGAAGCCGAAAAATAACTTTCAGGCTTTGACAAGGAGGATTCGAACCTGTGCCTCTCAGGTCAGCTAGTTGGATGTACATGAGGAGATCTTGAACTCATGGGAGAATTAGGTTCACTGTCACTGTCTCTATCTTACAGACAGAGAGGTGACGAGGAGTGGTTAGCTTTCAGGGCTCCACAGTGAACGGTCTGCCGAGGTTCGACAATGACAGGGACATTCTGTTGTGTAGTGTCTTTGCCAAGGCATTCCACTGCCTCAGAGCCTCTTTTTGCATCTGCGAGTATTAAAGAGTACCACAAAGGTAACTTGTTAGGATAACTTGACAAATTGATTGAGGTGGAGGGGGGGAGGGGGGCTGCCATGGATTGTAGGACGGGAGGGTAGTAATATTCCTAGTCGCTTCATGTTACGGGAACCAAGATAAGCCATGAGGGTACCAGGCCACCTGGCTCACAGTCAACCCCACTCTTTGAAACCAACGGTGCATCTTTCCAAGAGACCAGAATAGCGATCTCAATCTTAATGTTTACATAGATAAACTGATCTAAAAAGGAATTTTTTCTCCCACCATCAGATATTTGAAGACAAGTTTGCGCAGCGTGAAATCCTGTCGTTACCAGTCCAGTGTGAAAATCACTGCGACGGCTGCGAGTGGAGTGGGGAACTGAGGCAGTTCGAGGTATGTTTGCATCAATTCCATTATATATTTTGGAGCCTATGAAGCTAACTAGAAAGATGCATTCCCAGATCATAAGAGCATTAAGGATGAAAAAATAGACATAAACCTAAATCATGCATTACTGTCTGAGAAATGTTCATGGATAAAAGACGGAGATGGGTTGAGGCTTGAGGAACCCTGAGAGGTCTACAGGTCACGATTACTGAGCCGTTATGATTTTACATCGACAGTCAGCATCTGGCTCAGACGTCGAGAAGCTTATAATGCACACTAAGTTCTAACTCGCGACTGTTCATTTCAGAAACACGAGGCCCAGTGTCCCTATGCCAAGGTCCAATGTGTGCATCCCAGTTGCGGAACCCTGGTTCAGAGAGATGACTTATCTCGGCACCTTGTGGAGGATTGTATCTTCAGAGAGCAGCAGTGTGGGTATTGCTCCATAAAGACTACAGCTGATAAGCTTGAGGTATGGTCAGTCTTTTTTTTTATTATTATTTGATAAATTTCTATGCACGCCGATATTTTCTTATTAGAGCTGATGGAAATTGTAAAATATAGCATCCAACGTGTCATGACTTCTTCAAACAAAACACTGCAGATTGAATGGCCAAAAAAAACAAAAAAAACAAACAAAAACGATTCTTTCCTAGTAAATAAGATCTCAAGTTTATGGAAATTAGCTCTGAATTTGATATGCAAACATGTAAGGATTTAATTCTGATTGGTGAGATGCATAGAGCATCCAGCTGATGCTACCATATGTCGCATGACAAGTATTCATAATGATTAGCATTTCTAGCACAGCAGCAGTCGATTTCAAACTCATATTGACATTCTTGATTGTAAACTGTAGGATCATCATGAAAAGGAGTGCCAAGAATACCCTGTGGATTGTTTGCAATGTAAAACTGAAAAAATTCCACGAAAGCAGGTAAAGTTATCAGTCAATCCTTCCTATAGTGCAATACTTTTGTTTTGTACACAAAGTCGTAACTTGTTAACATTTACTGCATCTCAATTAGATTTCCGATCAGGTTTTGTACAGAACCGGTAAATGTCACATCCTTGTCTCTGAATACCCACAGGGCAGCCTGTCTAAAATTTGATATCCACAGTAGTGTTCATAAATAAGAAGTTGAAAAAGAAAAAAAAACTTTGATAGATTGCCATAAACAGAATTGTCGTTCCGTTTTGATTACAGCTTTCGAGTCACCTTGATCCTGTTAATGGAGACTGCGAAGCTGTTAAAGCCCCGTGTCCTTTTCATAAAGTGGGATGCAAACATAAAGGGGTGAGTATTAAGAGAGAGAGAGAGAGAGAGAGAGAGAGAGAGAGAGAGAGAGAGAGAGAGAGAGCTAGACGAAAAGGCACTTTTGTAACGTTGATGTGGCACTTTCGCAACGTTAAGTGGCACTTTTGCACCCCTCAAGTGACACTTTTGTAACTAGTGGCACAATTCTAACGTACCTTATGGCACTTTTCTAACTTCACGTGGCACTTTGTTAACCTTGCATGGCACTTTTGTACCATTGTGGCACTTTGGTACCTTTATGGCACTTTGGCAACTTTCATGTGCCACTTTGGGAAAGTCAGGGTTACATGTTATTATTTTTGTTATTGTTTTCAGAACCTAACCTTCATAGTGTTGTCAAATCTGCAACCTCTTTTCATGGTTTACACACTTTATAATACACAGTAAGAATATCACAAAATGCTCAAATATAGAGTAAAACACAAAGTGCAGGAGAGAGGTTTGAATACCAAGAATTGGCATCATTTGTATGGCAATTTCACAACTCGTTATCGTTTTTATAACGCGCGCACCAGTGTCGTTTATCGGCGCTCTATTAACTTTGATAGTTGACTTGGGCCTTCTTCCCTTGTCAACTATCAGCAAATAAAAACCACGGGTTTGCCGTCTTATTGTTAAATAGTCATGAATGACATGGAAAGAATACAAGCTGAATTTGATTTTTTCTGGGTTGAGAAACGCGCCAACCACAGAATACAGCATTTTAAATGTGCCATGTTCAATATGAGTTTTAGGAAGAGGCTGGAAAATAGAAAATGATAGAATATGATAGGATAGAAAATGCCCAGCAAATTTCCTAGTTCCAATTACCTCAGGCCCTCACGATTCACGTTGGGGAACGTTTTAGTTTGATTGTCATCAGTCGTCAATTTAACTCACGCTATTTCGTTCAGTCGTTATTGAAAACACTGCCTTCGGCAGACAGGCTCAGTCTCAATTCAACATGCAGCACATTCAGTCGTTCGTATATTTTATTTCCCGCGCCTGTTTGATTGACGTCTTTAATTTTGCAACGCAGCATATTACATGTCAACGGGAGCATTAGTTTTTAGTCGCGGATTGTATGTCATTGTTATTTCTGCTTTTAATTTCTCCCTCTTTTCTTCCCCTCTACGTCTTAGCCTTGAAATCCTATCCCCGCCACCCTGTAAATCTTCTTTGGGCATCTTTCTGATCGATTTCTCAGTTTGGCTCCTCTCGTGTTCTCGATCCGCCCTTTCGCTTGTTCATTAAGATGGCCGGATTCTCTGGCTTTTGATTCAATCTGTCGAGGTGCAAGGGAGGAATATTAGGGGAATAATTAAAGGAGCTACGTCACGGAAATTTTGTGGATAGTTGGTCTAAACTGCTCTGAAATTATTGGTAGACTACTTAACCCAGAAAAACATCCAGAGAAAAATAATAAAAAATAAATAAATTTGCGGAAAGAAATAAGACCCCTACTATTAATTTCGATTTTTTGATGGCCCGAGGAAACAACTTGAAAAGTTTAGCCTAAATTTTTCACGTTGTAATTCATTTCCATCCAAGCCATTCGCAGCCAAAGACGGTTGTAAGTTGTTTCAGTGCTCTGATATAGCAATTGTTAATAAAAATGGCAGTTATTTTCAGGTTTCCTACGACACCAATACATAATTTGGCTGTTTAAAAATTTGTTAAAATCCCTGACAAAGCCCCTTCAAGTTGTATAGTGTCTATCGCGTGTCCCCTTCGTGCAGAACGCTTACCCTTACAATGCAGTACTTAAAATGTTTCAAAAATTGCTCATGGTGTAAAAAAAAATTGCTTCAGTGTGTGGCTGTAGCTGCAGCATTAGTTGTCTTGGAAGCAGCCATCATTTTTATTATTATTTATGGGCTAGCATACTCAGATAATCTGGAAATGGTGTTCAACCCTGATATTAATCCATCATCCAACAGAGACTGATTCACCTTGGGAATTACTGTGCTCTTGCGATGTTGTGCAAGACATTCGACGGTGCCTTCAATGAATTATTTGAGGTTTTAAATCCACGCAAAAAAAAAATGGTTATTAGAAAATTGAACTTCTTTTTTTAAGCTCGACGTCATTACTTTGTCGGTAAAAAGAAACAAAAAACGAGCAAAAGCAACAGCCAAAATAAATAGACCTATAGGTAAGCTGAAAACATCTGACTTCTTTTAATTCTGACGACGTTGTGCAATTTTCTATGCTCGATGAAAAATTCCTTGCCGCCCTTGCCTCTCTGACACAAGTTGTATTATTTTCAGTCTTCAAAGGAATAAAAATTCAGTGAGATTACCTCAAACATTTTAACTACGGCACATTCATGCGAGTGTGCTGACTAATTCGTGCATTTTTCTCTTAAGTGAGGAATTTTATCACGGAACGGAGCTTTTCTGCAGTAGAGATGCCTAGAGGTCATTAACTATTTAACATTCGCTAAAAACCGAATAACTGCCTGTTTTATTATAACAAGCAAACTTAACTGAAGTTTGAA